AGGTTCCCCATATTTCTTTATTATGGAACACTCTCCTTCCATAATTCCCTCTTTCCAGGATTCCTGATGAGCTGAAAATTGTATAAGGCTGCCCTCAAATTTACATCCTGCCTAAATGGTGATAAAAAGAGCAATTAATCTGATGTTTGTACTGTAGTAGCTGCCTGAAGGTGCCTAACAGACTTAGACTTAAGCAGGACTCAGGTCACTCAGATCCTGATGTTCTGCACCAAACACAGGTTAAAAAAAAAAAAGAAACACAACATGAAAACCAATCCATCAATATCAACTGCAAGACTAGGAGTCATTGTGTGTGTGTGAGAGAGAAGAGAATCATATCAAAAAACCCTAAGCAGTGGGGGACAGAATCTCACAAAGGAATTCTCTTAAAACAATCACATACAGGGGTAGTAAAGGCTTCAGTTCACACCCCACACTGGGACTTTAGCACTGCTTCTTCAGAAGAGACAGGAAAAAGTAACCTGCAGGTGAGAGGGGGCTCTAGTTGTCAAAGATGTGATAAAGTAGGTGATAATAATAAAACCCACAGAGCTATGTCAGAAGTCACAACAAAGATGTCCTAGGGGACAAATGAAGGGGGCATTTAAACTCCAGCTGCCAAAGTCAGACTGCTCACATCAAGCCACACTGCTCATGTGAAGCAGCCCTCCTCCTTCTCCCACGTGGACAACAGAATCCAGAGGCACTCCACAATATAAAAAAACAGAAGCAGGTATCAGTGTGAAATGAGAGAAATTGAGGTTACCAGACATACTGACATTACCAGAGATAGCTTTTCTTTTTCATTATAATCATAACAGCACAACCTTGCCTACACTCAGTGCTTATGGCACTGTGGGAAATATTTGTATTTATTCATTTTTTAATTATTTCTTCTGAAATCTTGTTTAGTGACAAAGCTGGGATGAGTGATTTGTTTTACAAGATGTAGAGGGCAGGAGGAGAGATGAGCAAAGGCTTAGGAAAAAATGTCAAGGAGATTCCATAGCAGGGATTGAGAAAGTGGAGTGGGATAGAAGGAGGGACAGGCTGGAGATATGATCTCTGCTGTTGAAGGAAGAAAAGGAAGAAAGCAGTTGTGATGGTAGAGATTTGGGCTTTCAGGCAAGAGAGGAGTGAAAAGAAAGGCAGGGTGGGAACCTTGAACTGTCAAAAATATCATGATAGGGAAAATGAATCCACAGAGATGGAGGAAGAAGGGAGGGAAGGAGGAAAATCAGTGTGGAAGTAGGAAGTGCAAAGAAGAAACAATATAACTTTGAGAAGAAAAAAAAAGGACTTATTCTAAAAAATATATATTACTTCAGAACATGAATAGTATAAGAGACATGGAAACACAGCACAAAATATATCCAATTTCATATGGACTTTATAGAGTATATGATGTTGGATAAAGACTGAGTAAGGAATCCTAGTTAGAACCACAAAATGGTTGAGGTTGGAATGACCTCGGGAGGTGATGTGGCTCAACCATCTGCTCAAGCACACCCACCTAGAGACACCTGTCCAGGACCATGTATGGTGGTTACAACTTTTGGACATCCTCAGGGAGGAAGATCTCACAGCCTCCCTGGACAACATCTGCTCAGTCTCCTTTGCAGTAAAAAAATGGTTCCTGATGTTCAGAGGGAGCCTCTTGTGTTTCAGTGTTGCCTGTCACCTCTGATCCTGTCACAGGGCCCCACTGAACAGCGCCTGGATCCATTCTCTTTGTACCCTCCCTTCTACACACTGAGATTCCCCACTCTGTTCTCCAAGCTGCACTGTCCCAGGTCTCTCTGTCCGCCCCATCGCTGTCTCCCCTACGTGGAGCCCTGAGCTGGACACAGCACTCCAGGTGTGGCCACTGACACAGGGGGGTCACCTCCCTCAGCTGCTGCCAATGCTCTGCCTGTGGCAGACAAGGATCCTCCCACCCTCCTTGCAGCAAGGACACACTGGGGGCTGATGTTCAACTTGGTGTTCACAAGGCAAGTTCTTTTCTGTCGAACTAATTTCCAGCTGAGCAGCCCCCAGCATATACTGCTGCCTTGGATTGTTCTTCCCCAGGTGCAGGACTGCATTTCTCCTTGTTGAACTTTATGAGGTTCCTGTCATTCCATTTCTTCTGCCTGATGAGGCCTCTCTGGATGGCAGCACCTACCAGCCACTCTCCCCAGCTTTGAGTCATCTTCAGACTTGCTGAGGGCAATACCTTCCCCATCATTAACAAAGATTTTAAACTGGACTGGACCCAGTATTGACCCCTGGATTACACTGATGGCCCCTGGCCTCCAATTTCATGTCACTGATCATCACCCTCAGGGCCCATCCACTCAGCCAGTCTGTAATCCTCCTCACTGTCAGCCCATCCTACCCATCCTATCAGCTTGTCTGTGAGGATCTTATGGGAAACCTTACTGAAATTAAGGTCAGCAGCATCCACTGCCTTCCCCTCATCTACCAAACCAGAAGTTTACCAAGTTGGTCAAGCAGGAGTTATTACTGCATTCCTGCATAGTGTTAGAATATGCTCTGTGACTAATTTACTCACTGATAATATGAACATATTCACAATTGTTCTCCTCACAATGGCCCTATATTAATTAACATTTGAAGATATGTCTTAAGATCTCCAGAATAATGCTGCTACTCTACTTATGTAAGAAATTATTGATTCTGTTTTCAAATGTTCTTTATATAGCTTGGTTTTATAAATCTTTCAAGTATCAAATCCTTAGAACAGCTGTAAAGTAAGATACATGCATAAAATAAAATGAGGATGTCAAGCAGACTTCTCAGACTTCTCTTAAATAAATGCACTTTTAATAACTAAACAGTGAAATTCAAGGTTTTATCCTTGCATCTTTATTTTTAGAATGTGGTATTACCTATCCTTTCTCAAATGAATCTTAACTTCTATAAGAACATTCAAAGGTGTCAATATTGTCAGTATAATTATCAGGTATGTATCAACTCACAGCAAAACACCACCAATCACTCAGCAAAATGGTAATTCTAGAATATTTAAAAGTTTGGCAATGATTTTCCAGTTGCTTGATTTTACAATATCACAGAGAAAGTAATTATTTTCTACTGTAATCACAATTAGCTTTGCAAGAGATTAATAGTAAAACCAGCATGCCTCTCCCTCATCTTCCTTCACAGGAACTTCTTGCTGTAAGACAGTTATACTGGAATATCAGGGAACAGCCAAGGTTACAGGGAGAAAGACTGTGTGGTGGGTCATGTACTGGTTCATTTTCTGGATTCCTACAGATTTCATCAAAAGATTTTCTCATCCATTTTCAAAGCTGCAGAAAAGATTAGTGTCAGAGGCAGCACTGTGACAGGAGAAAGCCTGGTGTCAAAGCTCCTAAACTAAACTAGCAGATGAAAACTTTTGGGAACTGCAGTGAGTTTGGGAGATATAATGAGTTTCTACTGCAGTTCCTGGAAGGAAAAATTCTGTGAGCAACATTATTTTCAGCTCCTGTACTTTGAAGAATTACTGCTTATTTCTTCATTCAGTAAATTCCTGTCATCAACTTTTTCTTCCTCCCAGCTCCACTCACTGCCATGACAACATGTAAGGTCTTCATGGAGGTAGCTGTGTAAGGTGCAGAGGTTCCCCTCTAGCACCATCTCCTCTGCTGTGCCTTGATAAAGCATTTCCACAGGAAATCATTAATTCTTGTCGCTCTGGATCCCAATTAAAGGGGTTTATAATTGTCGGACTGAAGAAACATGGAGGTGAAATTGTGTCAGGGGGTTTGAAAAAACAGACATACCAGATATCTGCAAAAGGAAATTTAATTGATTAAATATACGATTAATTGTCATTGGCTTATACACCTCATTGCAGCCTTTAGAATTGCAAAGAAGAAGATGTTTTGTTAAAAGAAGAGGGTGACCACTGATTGTGCACAGAGGATTGCCCAGAAGAGGGAAGAGTCAGGCTAAATGACTTGCTGCCATCTATTGACCACGCACCTTTAAGTGTCCAAGATCTTCAGTAAGATGATGAAAAGACGGTAAAATCGTACAGGGAAGCCAACTTCTGTGTGACAACAAATAATTTGTCAAAATCATTTGTAGCTGCTCTATTACTGTGTTAGTATAGTCCTGAATTTTTACTAAAAGCTAGTGCCAGCTGTTTGCACATTGCCTTTCTCAACGTTTGAGATTTAGAACAGCAGTCTCTCCTCCACATAAGAACGTGTAAGAAATGAAGCAGTCTGCTCCCAAGGACATCACAGTGACTCCAGTAAAGCTTGATAAATGACTTTGTATAGATTTGTTGCTCATGCCTAACTCTGTTCCCTTCTCTAAAACAAAATGAAGTAAAACTAGCATCATAGCTTCCCACCCAGAATTATGGCCATGTCTCTGCATGAACTTCTTTTTTATGTGTTTATTTACCAAGGCTTTAAAATAAGAAATCACTTCTTATAAAAAAATTATCTCCTTGGAATAACAGGTTTAGGCATGATTTCTGATAGAGCAATAGCTCCTCTACATGACAGCTAACACTTGCAGCAAGAAACAGAAGCCCATCCATTGTGGGGGTTTCCATTAGAGAGACAGGCACTGCTGTAAGAAATTGATTCAGTTTTTGCATCACTGAGGTACTCCATTTAAACAATGGTTTTTTGCCTTTATTGATAAAGCATTGTAAAGTAACAGAATAAAAAATAACTATTTCCTTCAAAATTTGAGCAAACAAATTTCTCAGAATACAATTATGCATCAGTCAAGCTGTGTTCTATAAAGAGCAAGTTAAGGTCACCAGCAAGTTGAGACAATCATTTTTTTCAAACAAACATTTCTTCTGACAACTGTCAGCTCCAGCAAGTGTGCTCAGTATCCCTCCTGGTTCATCCTACCTGAGGTCTGCATCTAGAGATGAACAGTGGCACAACAGACCAAGCAACACTGATTTCATACCAACAGTCAAAAAACTAAGTACTTATGATTGTTTCCTTCACACTGTTGACTCAGAGATAATGATGGACCACATCTTGACCTCAGTGACACTCATCTTCACCCAAAGGAATACCCAGGCCTTCATCACAGCACAAACACAAGCAGAATTTGTCCATTTAATTAAAGCCTCTGAGTTTGTGCACTGCTGAAGTCAATAAAGGTGAAAGGCCTGAAAAGCAGTACAAAGGGGCAGAAAATCTGACTCAGAGGTCACCAATCCAGGCACATATTTCACAACAGTAATGATACAAAGAGACAAATACACATAATTTTCTACAGTAGGAAAACTCTAGAGGAAAATAATAGTAGTGCACAGTACAAAAGATTACTCAACCTGCAAAAACCATTTCCACTGACCAGAATGGATGCATATTGCTACATCAATAGTTTGGGAAACAAGGAAAATTGAGAGTTTATTACTACTAGTCCCTGAAGTTTTGTTAGCCTGTCCTTCACATGTGAACTGTTGTATGAAGCAAGAATGAATGTGTGAAACATGGAAGACTTCAATATTTGACTTTATTTTGTGCTACAGATCATAAGCACCTAGACCATTAATCACTCTCCCTGTTGCATTTACAATGCAGTTAAGAAAGCAGAAACCCTCTTTCTCCCGTCCCACCTTTAAGTTTATGCAGAACACTTCAGGGAACATTGAATGATTGAAATAATTTCTCTTGGCACAATTGTCTTGTTTTCCATCCTTTATCCTGTTCCATAAATTGGTCAGTCCATATATTAGTGCCTCTCAACATCTTTGAGTACATCTGGCCTCTTCCTCCAGTCAGCTGCAAATGTTGCCTTCCCTGGTGAATAAAAATAGAAATGTTCCTCTTTGTAAATGGAAGATAAAGTCCAAGTTTCCAATTTTATAGCACTCTACCAATTCCCCTGATTTCAGCACACAAATAAGGAACTCAACCAGTTTTCATCCTCCAAAAACAGATGGTCAAAGATGAGCCTCCAGAGATGGAGAGATGCTATAATAGCTAAATACAGATTAGTTTAAAAGCCTCCAAGGGTCACAGCAAGCAGCAGCTTTAAAAAACAGTCATGTGCCACTAAAACATACTTGGCAGCACACACTCACTGCTTCCCAAAGCCAGCATTATGGGTCGGTTCTTGGGAGGCACAGCTGGAAAAGAATTACCCTTTCCCAGCTCTCTGCCAGTCCTAGAAGATGTGTATTTTTCTCTCAGCCACCTGAGTGGCCTCAAAGGAGCAAATCTCTCAAAGTGTTGGATTTTGTCCTGTAAAATTTGATTCCTAGCCAATAAACTGAACTATAAGCAATAAGTAGCACATATTCATGGGGCACCTGTCAAAGATAGCAAAATAGTCAGTAAAATTACCTGCTTTGGTATATCAGCAGCTTCACCAACATAGTCAGAAATCTCTCAGTGTTTATGCTATACACATTTGAGGTCATTATTTTTTTTTTTAACCAGAAAGGCACAATGCACCCCAGTGTACAGAAGCATCATCAGCTTGGTCTCAGCCAGCAAAAGAACATGATCATTTTATGGTTCATGAAAAGTGCTATTTCCTTTCATTTGCTCTCTTTGGAAGTCGTCCCTGCTATGGAGGTTTCACTGTCATAACAAAAAGTGAATCCTCAATTGCCAAAACACCTGAGAGCAGTAGGAAGTAGCCCTTTATACGCACCCTCATAGGAAACCAGCCTGTGTTATATAACAGAACACAGAGATGCCGTACAGAATACACTGCAAAGTTCAGTTCATACCTGAGAAAAAGCTTAATTTCTGAGTGACTGGGCTTAAAAACATCAACACACACACTTGAATACCCTATATATTTACTTTGCTTTGATAATGCTTAGTAGCACAGCTGTCAAAAATGGTTATAATTTAAAGTGAGCATTCAGAATGTAATGTTCTGTATCAGTACCACTGCTAAGGCTAAATTTTAGGTGATAATTATAATGTTGAACATCTGAGATGAAAGTGTATCATAAAAAACTACTCAAAAACCAAACAATTAATGCTTAAAAACAGAATTCTTTACCAAACTGTCATAAAGAAAATATAAATATTAAATCTTTACTTGGAATGCAGAAATTTACCTTGTAAAATGCTAAAAAACAGATCTCAGAAATTAATTGTTATTTAAGGTAATATTTTTTTAATTCCTGAATTAATTTAATTAAATTCTGCATCAGAGAAAAGAAAAATAGGAGGAGGGGAGGAATATTAACAGGAGAGGAATATTAACAGAGAATTATTAAATCATAGAATCATATAGGTTGGAAAACCTATAAGATCATTGAGTCCAGCTGCTAACCCAGCACCACCAATAAATCATATCCACAACTGCCACCTCTACACGTCTGTCACCCCACGACAACGTCTTTCAAATACCTCCAGGAATGTCAACTCCACCACTTCTCTGGGCAGCCTTATTCATTCCTTGGCAACCCTACTAGTGAAAAAAATTTTCTTAACAGCTGAATCCAACCTTCCCTGGTGCAGCTTGAGGCCATCTCATCTCATCCTGTCATTTGTTACTTGTGATAAGACATATTCAGACATATTTCCCCTTTTGATTCAATTTCAGTGAGAGGTGAAAATTTGATTCATAATGTTTAATATTTGGCAGTCCTTCATCTCTAAAGTGTAAAATACTGCCTGTGCCAGATATTTGTTCTGGAAACATAACTCCCTATGGCTTATATACTGTTCAATTCCTCTTATCCTGAAATATCAGGAGATGGAAAACACTGTCCCTAATTTTAAAATATAGTCAGGACATAGCAAAAAAAGACACAATAAGTGAGCACCAGGAAAGCTCATGGGTCCTAGACTAGATGCCATTTGGCTGGAAGAGACTTCAATGTACAGCTTAACCTGGGAAATTTCATGGTCTTGCTTAATATGAACAATGGCTGAAAAATCTGAGTCTTAATGAATGCCAGCAATGGGTGAAGGGGGCATAATCAAGGCAAGAGCAGTTACTAACTATTGGAATCCTGTGCTCACTTCCTACTTGGTAAATAGTATAGATACAGTTATACTGAAAGCCTTTTATTGGGCACTGTTATTAACAATGACTTTTGTTGAGTGGAGCCTTGAGGTGTTCACAACTTTATTACAGTATGTAGCATTTGTTCGGATTTATCTCATACATAAATTCCTAATCTAAAGAGGAATTTGTAAATCCTCATCTTGACCAGCAGGTGATTCTTACTAAAGAAACAGCTCTCCCTGCTGGTTAATTAAGTGATCTGTCATGGCACTGAGTTTGACTCACTTTATTTTATCTGATGGAAGATCTTATTTGTTTCAGAGTTAATGGGTGAGAAATAACCCAGGAACTTCTCCATCTCCAGTGACAAAAGAAAAGATGGTTTATCTGGTTTATTTAAGAAATACATTTAATTCAAACAAACAAAGATCAACCAAAAAACCCAACAAAAATAAAAACACAGAATGAAGTATCAAAGTATAAATTATGAACAGAATTTATGCACAGAAAATGATGTTATTGCAAAAGAAAACAAAAAAAGCAAACACTCATCTCCAGTAGCTAATATAAGTGCTATTCAGAAAGAATTTACTGCTTTTCTCCAAGTACTAGAGCACCTCCATGCACAGCCTGAACCTACATTCTACTGAGAGTGCTTCCATGAATAAAGGCCCCTTGTCCATTGAGCAGAACAGCAGGAGATAGCAGCTCTGAGCATGTAGCCAGGTTATCTGTTTGACAACAGCTTACAAAATGTAGCAGACACAAATTATTACTTTGGTATTTACTGTCATAAGAGTTACTGCAAAGGCAAATCATTTGGTAACCCTGCACGTATGATTATAGCACCATGTTAGAATTAGTCTCATTACAAAAAGTTCTTCCTTGATCATAATCCTTCCCCTGCAGATACTCCTGACACTTTTTTGGGAGGGGTGTAGCCCTTAGTGGAATAAAATTAGCATTCTTCACAGATTGATGGTGAACTGTTTTTTACAGGTAACAAAGTGATTCTTGAGACACCTGAACATATGAAAATATATTTTTCAATATTTTGGAAATATGATGTTTTGTTACCTTGGCACTTGAGTAGACAAAAACAGGCTTATACATTCCAGGTCTGATTCTTGGATCAGTCACAATGTGATTTTAATTCTCTTCCAAAAGTGGCAACTGGGAACCGCTTTGGCTTACAACATGCGATGGAGAAACCTGAGGTGAAAAAACAAAGGTTGCTCTCATTTACACTGGTGATAGTTTCCAGGCAGAGCTAGGTTAAGTGCAAGACGAGGAGGAAAACAAATGCTATCTGTACCCCATGTATCAGGAGCATCAACATCAGGTCTGGCATACCTGAAACTAGAACTCAGAATTGGCCAGAAATTCAATACCATTCAAGACTAGTTTCTTAGTTACATGCCAGGCACTGTTTTCACTTGTCAGGACATTATTTAGCTTTGAAATAATGTGTACATTTAAATATATAGACAAAAAATACAGCTATTTAAATCCCATTCATCTTTGCAATACTCATCAGGGCATAAAATAAAGCAGCTAGATGTAGAAATGATGAAACACAGCTTATTGCCTGCCTTTAAAAGACTGCTGGATTTGACAGCAGCAGACTAGCCAAAAATTAGCACATAAACTATGAGATTAAGATCATTGCTAAAAGGTAATAAGGATCATTGTAAAAAAAATTTTGGAAAGCATCCACATATCTGACCAAAAGGATGAGATTTACATCTATGCATAAGGGACTACTCTTACAAGTTGGGTCAGTATGAAAGCAATCTGAGGTACAAAGCTCAAAAAGTGTTGATAAAACCATTCTTTGTAGTCCCAGAAAAGGTGCCTGTGTGTGTGTGTGTGTGTGTGTGTGTGTGTGTGTGTGTGTGTGTGCATAATATAATTGTTATGCAAAATCTCCCAGGAATTCTGGGATGATGGGGGGAGAGAGGTGACAACCCTCACTCTATTCTGTGCTGTTGCAGCCTTATCTTGAGTCCTGCGTGCAGTTTTGGGCACCAAAATACAAGAAAGAAATAAAATTATTAGAGAGCAACCACAGGAAGGTTACAAAGGTGGTGAAGAGTCTAGAGGGAAAACCATATGAGAAGCATATGAGGTCACTTGGCTTGTTCAGCCTCTGGTACATGGTGTGACTCTAGGGGATGTGCTGTGTCAGGAGTTGGGCTTTGACAGTCCCTGTGGGTCCCTTTTAACTCAGGACATTCTGCAATTCTATGGTTCTATTCTACAAACATTACCCCAGATACTATAGGAGGGTGAGCTGCTCATATTGCACCAAAGAGTGCCAAACAGCCCCTTTCTTCAGCAGGCTTCCACACCAATTTCTTCCTTGTCTTGCAGCTTGAAGAGACTGCAGTCTATTCATCTACCTGTCAACAATATCAAGACTTTCAACTCATGCAGCATCATTGCAAGTACATGTCTCAAAGCACACAGTTTAGTCTTAGAAAGGTTTCTTCAAAATAATAAAAATATTGTAGGTTTGTTGAAATGTCATCAGATGACAACAGCAAGAATTTACCTTTCTTTTTTAATCAGCCTTTGCAGCAGAGAGATGCCACAAAGCACAACAACAAGCAATGCCTGATGCACAGTTGAACACCACAAGCTGAAAAAGGATCTCAGTCTCCCCCTCTTGTTTGTGCAAGGCACGTTCTTGTTTTCTCAGCCCTTTTTTGGAGGGTTGCTTGTTCTCCCACTTTAATAAGACACTTCTGCAAGGACCAGAGCTGGAAAGTGCACACAAGCTACTGAGCTTAGCTTTGTGTTTGGTACATGGGAGACAAACAGACGGCTAGTCAGACAGACAGATTTTATACAAGCTTGTTCATCTAGACTTGTTACGAAGGGAAGGTGTTAATAAATGATGCAACACATGAAACAGTGAACTGAAACTCTGGTTTTATTTCATGTCATTTTCCAAACGCATCTTCAATTCTGAAATGCTTGAGCTATATAGGCTTTATGGGACATGAAGACTACAGCAGGAAATTAATTGCAGTTTGGCATGCTACGTGTGAAGAGTAAATATCCAGAAAAAAAGAAATACATTAGAATATTTCAAGTAAAAAAATTAATTAAATTTTCTAGCTCCTTACTTCTAGAGCAAATCATTTTACTGTGAAATGACCAGAGGGAGAGCTACCACATCATGCTTTTCCCCATGTTTACTGCAACAATTAATATCTGAGAGACAGTATGAATTTGCCATGAATATACCCTTGACACAGATTTCCTTCTTTCCCAGCTCAAAGCCATTGTGCAAAACATCAGGTCACTAAATCTCTAACATGGAGGGAAGGGAAGGGAAGGGAAGGGAAGGGAAGGGAAGGGAAGGGAAGGGAAGGGAA